AAATTAGATAAAATAATTTTTAATGAGTCAATATCTGAGTTATAGAACAGAAATGGTTTACTTGGTTAACTCCCTTATAAAACTGAAGTTCCTTAACAGCAGAGTCTGTGTTGGAATCATTTATCTCCAGTTCCTGGCACATAGAGATTACTGTCACCTCTGTGTTGATAATAACCCATCTGTACATCTGGTCTAGGTTTCTCCTGCGAGGTCTACTAAGCCCTTAATGGACTTTTCTGATACAATGCAATGGAGGGAGAGCTGAACTTTGGTTTTGAGTCCTGAATCTACTACTTAGAGATGCTTGTTCTTGGAGAAGTGACCATTTTGAGCCTCAATTTTCTCACACATTAAAACAATAGTTGTGACTCACTTGGGAATTAGATTTGATAACGTATGTGGAAGCATTGCATAGACTGCAATAGAAGAGAAAGTCAGGAATTTTGTAACTAGGATTTTTAAAGGATGGCTGGCTGTTTCTGACAGGGCATCGTGATGTTAGGTATCTTAGTGGAATCTTGACTTTTTCAGGATCTGATTTTAAATATGGTTTCAGAAATTTAATTTTGACTGTTTACCTAGAGAAGATCAGGTCCTGGGAAAATCCATTCATAAACACAATTGGCATTGAATTCTTTTAATCTATCTCAGACATGTCTTGTAAACCCACAATTTCTCCACATTATCTTCTCTTGCAACATGGATTTCTACTTAAGTCCTCCTGTCCGGGTCTCCTTCCATACTGCCACTAAAGTTAGCTTTCCAAAATGTATGAATGTATCACTTTCCTTAAAAACTTTATTTTTTTCTTCCCTTGTTTTTTTTTTTTTTTTCCATTTCCACTTTTATGCACTCTCTACGTTTCTGACACAGGGTTGTCCATTTTTTGGTTTCCAGTCCTTGGCATGTGTGTGTTCCTGGATGCCACTCTCAACTTTTGGGGATGGATTTAATGATAATGACCCTTTGTCTAGCACTGCCTCAGGACCTCTCTTTCTTATGTCAACCCCTTTCAGGGGCAGGCCTCCTCAAGTGTGGCCTTGCCCTGTGTTCAGCTCATAACTAGTTCACACATCATGGGTCTTAGAATCCCAAATGATAAGAAGAACTAATTTGCTGGCATCCTGAACATCCCCTACCTTGGTGCTGTGTGAAGAGGTCTCTGTCCTGATTCAGCCACACACCTGATATCTGCATTCCCCGCCCCCCCCGGAGACCTTGCTTTTCTCTCAGACTTCTAAAATGTCTGAGCAACTTCTTATCCTTAGGATTCTCATGCAGAATGAATAAAATTCCTGGTTTTCGACTCAAGAAGAGAAGTTATAATGGACTCTTCCCCATATACTTAAGAAGGGGTTTTGCTATACCCAAGTCCTGTTAAGAAATTTAGGCCAAGTGTACCAGCCAAACCACCCACCATTTCTCACAAAGGTGAAGGACTGTCAGTTACTAAGACATTGATTTCTCTGATTCTTATCAAAGGACTAAATTATTGCTGGTATTATATAGTAAGTTAGGAAGAATTTTGGTCTCTCCTATTTTCAGCAATATTTTGAGTAGAATCGGTATTATTTCTTCCTTAAATGTTTGGTAGAATTTACCAGTGAAGCTATCTGGGCCTGGAATTTTGTTAATGGGAAAATTTTAACTATGAATTCAATTTCTTTAATGATAGAGTATTGTCAATTTCTTCTTTTCTAAGTTTTGTAAGTTTGCATCTTTCATGAAATTTGTACATTTCTTAATTGTCAGATTTGTTGGCATAACTCTGTAGGATCTATTTTCATTCCTGATATTGAAGATTTATATTGTTGCTCTTATATTTCTTTCTTTTTTTTTTTTTTTTTTT